AATACTCGATTTGATTACAGTTTTCGCTTGGAAGTTTGTGCGAGAATGAGCAACTGGAGAGACATTTCCGTTATTATTACCCACACATACACATACGCGCAGAGAATGAGAGAGAGAGAGTTAGAGACAGGAATATTGTTTGTAAAATGCATTGCTTGAAGGATTGAGGTCATTGCGCCAACGCTTTCAATTCATCTATTCCCAATTGGAAAAACCATCAGACACACAAACACACACACACACACAAACTACATCCTCTATAATCTTCTCATCTATTCACTAATTTTTATATGTTCTAGTTCCGTTACCGGCTTCCATATTATTCCATACATCATATTATGCTATTGCCATGTAATATGTGTAATGTTCTCATTCCTATGTCATTCAATCTGTCTCTTCGCATGTCATGTTGATGCAAATCCATTTGACTTATTAATTATTGACCGCATGTCAATGCATCGGTTGAATCAGCAAAGCGCTTTTGATTTTCTCGCCACACACACACGCACATACAGACAAAAAACCGCACCAAAAACAAAATGAACGAGATAGAATTTCGATGGATCAGCAAATTCTTCTGCGGGTGATCCGTCAATATCATGAATTGCGTGCCATACACATACTATTTATATATCAAACCCAAAGCGGAAATGTTCCGGTTGTGCGGTGCACTACCAAATTCCACATATGCATATGATCGTTTAAATAATAACAAAAAAAATACAGACAGACCGTCAGACAGAGAGATAAAATGGGAGGGAGAGAGATAGAAATATCGACGGAAAAAGGAAAATAATATTCGGTAAAGGTGCAATATACGTGGTCAATGACAGAAAAACGGTTACATCGTATTTAATATAGGAATAGCAGCACTTTCGATTGAAGTGTTTGTGCATGTCATATTCTCTTATTTTTTTTTTTTTTTTGTTTTCCCGCTATATATGTACAAAATTGTTTGACGTGTAGTTTTTCAACCTGAGTTATTTTTATTCGAGAATCAAACAATAACAACCCTAAGCACAAGCCACGAATGCCAAAGCAACTCATAAAATTGAAACAAAGAACAACCTCAACGCACAAAGACACACACGAAAAATGGGACAGAGAGACAGAGAGAGAAAAATGTTAAACGAAATGGCATTCATTAATACAAAAACTTTGAAACTAATGATGAAATGCGTATGTGTGTTCATTGTGCGTATCGAACACATTGTGTTTTTCAACGTAAATTCCGCTTCTGCGATTCCGATTGCAATTGACTTCGAAGCGCAACGGTCGATTTTAGATGTTATTATTGTTATTATTCGTATAGTTTTTTTTAACTATGTACAGATAGGTGCTCGTGATTAGTTGGTATGATGCAACGTGGTAAATATGGATATGTGTGCTGGAGTAAGGCTGGAGAGTTAGCTGAAGAACAGGAGAGCGAAAGAGGGCGAGAGAGTAAAAACACACAGAGACACACATACAAAATAACGAAAATTCAATTTAAATTTATCTCTATTCCACCGACACGTTGCACACCGTTCGTTCGCTCATTGTCATGGTTGTATTGGCACCACCGCGTGCGCTCACAAGTGACTAAGAATCGCCAGCAAAAAGACACAATAAACGAAGAGACAAGACATATTAAAAATGCAAGAGCAAAAGAGAGACTACGAAAAAAAAGAGAATAAAAACAACACACAACAAGGCAATTCATGAAATATGTATTTTCAGGGGTATCACGGTATATGATTTTGTGTTTTAATTTAAATGTAGTGAAATGTGGCATATTCAAAAGGGAAAAAGAAAAGAGAAAAAAAAGTGAGCGAGAGATAGAGACACCACAAGTAACGCAACAGTTTTTTTTTATTGTTGCATGATTGAGAAATGAGAGTAGCCGTTTGTTTTGAAAACCATGGATGCGTGCCGTGAAGTGTATAGTCATTGAATTCGAGTACAGTAGTTGAACTGTGTTAAGTTTTGAACGTTAACATGATGTGTGCCAAAATGAAGAAGTGAAGCAAAAAAAAAATAAAGTTGCTAAGCGTATCAATTGTCGATTAGAATAATGTAAGTGAGAGACATTTGAGTAGAGAGCAAACAAATGAAAGATTTGCGCTATTTGTCCCCAATCCCCATATTGCATTGCACATTTTCATTGACACACCGAATTGTATATCTATAACATATTCATGTGTTTAATTCTTTTTGGAAAATGAGAACGTAGCACTGCGATATTATGTTATTTTCACGCGATCTTTTTGGTACAAAGAGTGTCTCGCCCCCCTTTCTCTGCGTGTGTGTCGCTGCCTTGCCCGATTGTGAAAATGTTATTATAATCAAGTGTGGATGTTCTGGTGAAAAGATGCCGGGGAATTTGTTTGATTGAATCAGAAGTAACATAAGCTCAGCATGAAGGCGAAATAAAATAGCTGCACAGCCATATATCACACCGAACGGAACGATATTAAAGCATATCCACACACAATTGTCAATTGAAAAAAGCTGAATACATATCTTTGGTACGAATGCATGACAATAAAATCACTCAGGCATCACTCAACACACATACACATGCTTACCCATTCTCTGTCATTTGGTTCGTTCATTTCTCTCCCCCAAAATTGTATACAGTATATATGCGTGTGTGTGTGTGTGTATGTATCCGACTTTGACTTGCAATTTGCATCCCGCGTGTACACCGCATCCCATACTAACCATGTGTGCTGCTGTGCATGTATACTCTATTGTACAAAAGCCGTTCTTTGGTATCAAATTTTCAAATTGTGAATAAAATATACATTCAACAATCACAAGACTTATAATGAGTGCTTTTCAATGTGCAATGTGCATTGTACTGAGGCCCGTCACAACGAAACTTGAATCAAATGTACTCACTGTGTTGTACCAGTTGTTTATTGTCACATTGATGTGCCGATGCTCTGGTTTCTGGCTTTGGCTTTGGCAATGGGTCTACTCTGTTCTGTACTCTTGTTACCATTTATATCATTCACTCTCGCGCGCCACTTCTGTTTCTCTCACTCCGTTCAATCAATGCGGTCCTTTAACCCATTCCCTAGATGCTTCTCAATATTTAATAGAGACAACCGAAAAAGAAACAACTAAAATATGCGCGCGTATTTAGTATAATATTGTGAGCTCTCGCTGTACACCATATAATAGTGAATTGTATCGTTTAAAATTTAAGTGGCATATGAATTGGAAGTGTGTAGTTTTCGAGTGTATAGTGAGCGTATGTGTGTTGCACGTTGTTATTTCTTAGCCAGCCCGTTTCTGTAACGTTCAAAAATTGTTCGCACGTAAAGAAAGAGTGCAAGGGAAAGAGATTCGAACAAGAGAATGAAGAACCTTGCAAAGCGATTCGATCGTTCAGTTCAGTTCGTTCGAGCGATTCGCATACGCACGTATAAGCATATATACAAAAATTCATACACACACACACACATATATATATCTCTATAGACATACATACAGACACGTTTGGTAACAGCGACAAGCATTGAAAGCGAAGAGCCAACACACAATGCACACATGCTCATGCGATAAACAAAACCGTCAAAACGGAATAACGAGCAAACAAAAAGCGTTATACAAAGACTCACTCATACAATCCACTTGTTGGCGCGTAACACATCCGTTTCATGTCCGATATTGCTGTTCATATAATTGCTGAATTGAAAGACGTGGCCTTTTCTTTTCATAGCGAAAAGAAAAATTCGATCAAAAAGATAAAATTCTCTCGGCAATCTCATTTTCAAATGGATTTTTAAATCAAATAAAACAAATTTGTTGAACGTTAAGTCGGACGATTTGGTGACCAAGTAACGGACAAATCGAGAACGAACGAATGCCTCATACAAATGGTGCATGGTAGAGCATACATCGGGAAAAGACACATGCAAAGACATTGGAAATGATTGCCGAACGAAAACGGGCGCACGGATACTTTGTGTTTAATAGACTGTATGTTGTGTGTGCTGTGTCTCTCGTTCTCTCTGTGCTCGCATAGATAAAGTAGGTACAATGTTCGTTGTGCGGCTATGTGATAATCAAACGAATATTGTGTGTCGGCGGTGGCGGTGGTGGTTCTCAACAGCAATTCTATTTCCCACAAAACATTTTCATTCGCGCGTTTCGTGCAAACGGATAGAGAGCAATAGATGAACGAAACGTATTAAAACGAACTAAACAAACGCGATACAACATTTTGACACATAACAAAACAAACTGAAATAAAAACGTTTTCTCTTTTGTTTTTTCATCATTTTTATTCGTTTTTTTTTTAAATATATATTTATTTATTTGTGCAAAACTGAAATGTAAAAAAATGTATTAAATTAACAAAGTCAGTATTTTGGTTGATACTTACTTGAAAACGTGGTACTGGAAAACAGTTCGTGACTTAATAGAAGATAAAACCTAGTATGTCAACGGTTAAAATTTATAAATTTTTTATACAGTTTTTTTCATGTTTGGGATATACTTAAAAAAAAAACTTTGAACGCATAACGGTTGAAATGTGGAGAGTTTTGTTTATGCTTTCGGATTGCTTTTGTTGTTGTTGTTTTTTTTTCATTTATTCAAATGCAAATCGCGACAGTTGTGTGAAGTGACAGTTGAAACCTCTTGTCCTTTGAATCCTTAGAATTATTTAAATATTCAATGATTTTTCATATTCTCTATTTTATATTTTCTAACCGCTTTTGTTGATAAATAGATTTGTGCGTGTGCTGTGAGAGTGCGTTTTCTTGACTTTGCTGCCTGTATTATTTATTTCATTTTATTTTAAAGTCCGTTTATTCCGTTTTTTGTTCTCATATATTAATTTTTCGTTCGTTGCGTGCATTTATGTGTGAGTAAAACAAAATTTTAAAATTGTTCGGTTATGCGATCAAAGCCGATATATAGACATTTAGATATAGCTAGATAGATTGCACGGCCAAGCAAATGAGCGAGTTAGCAAAGTATGTGTGAATGGTTGATGATTTGCTATGTTGGAAGTGTTTGTCGTTGTAACGTTGTGAAGTCGATGTCCAGTGCAAATGAATTTTAATTTAAAATACCACACAGTTGTCAACAATCCAAGGATTCATTTTCATTTTTCATTTTTTTGTACGGTTGCGGACGTACACGCGAGACACTACACTGGCTTGATGCGAAATTGGCAAATAGAAAATCGAATGTGCTTTATATTCGCTTTGGATTTCGTGAGGCAAACAGCATTTTTATGAAGCAATCAAATTGTTCGGCACACAATAGCAACAGCAGTTAACACATACACACACATATATATATAGAAAATTTATACAAAGAGTGTGATAGAATATATTATTCGAATATAGTGTTCAATTTTTTTTGTTCATTCATCAACGAACAACCGCCAAGTTTAAATGTAAAAATTAAAGCGAAAAAAAAAATCAATTGTGCACTATTTCCGTAAATGTAAACTAAAACTCTCTGATTTCAATTGAATCGGTTTTTCATTAAGTCGGTCCATGTGCTACCATTGCTTTTTTGTTTTGTTCAATTTCAAATTAAATCGAAATATTTCAATCAGTTTAAAAAGTTGTGCAAGTATTGCATTATATATTGGAGTTTTTACTATAACAAAAACCAAATAGTTACATCTTTATTCAATTGTTTATTTTATTTCAATTTACTAATCAATCTGGTGTTTCATTAGATACTTTACAAAGTGCACAGTGGTGGTAACGTGTTTTCGGTTGAATGACACAAATTCGACGTGGTAATTTTCAAATGTCGATAAATCTTAAGTGATTTTCCATACATTTTACCGTTATCCGGAAGATAGAGGAGACGAAGATTGTACGATTTGAGAGAGCTAGAGTAATAGAAGGAATAGAACTTCGACAAACTCCAAATTTTTGGTGACATTGAACAACGTTTATACATAGAACATGCATAAAATCAACACGGAATACATTTTAGTAGCATTTGCTGTAATTATAACAGGTGAGTACCTATATCGATTATCAGTAGTAATTTCACTGTTAGAATTCAAAACGTCGTTTACATCTTTTCGTTGTAAAATGACGATTGATGCTTTGGGTACGTTCTGTTTATGATCGGAAACGATGAAACAAAATTCCGTTTAAATGATGATCTAAAATGCATTAAAAACGATGTCACGAGAGTGATTCACGCTAAAAATGTGGTTGCAATTCCAAACATATGGAAGTCTGGAGTTGAGTCAACTCGATTCGATGGAAGCGTGAATGCAAAGTACATCATCACCATAAAAGACTAGAGAACAAACAACAACGTTATATAAAAAAAATAAGCCAATTTAAACGAATTCCCTTCTCCGTACCGAAAATCTCTGAGTGCACCGAATATGACATTGGTGTGCTCCCGGTCCATAAGCGATAGTATTATTATTTATTACAATCATATTTTCGATGAGACAGGACTACAGCAAATTTTCGTGTGATGTCATTGGAACGCAGCGATCTTTGGTGTTCGCGTTTGCCATAGGCCAAAAATAAATTTTAGCGAGATGCAAATTTCGGACATTTATTCGCAATAGCAGAGTGTTTCGCAACCGAAGCGAAATATCATGTTCCTTTCTCTCTGTCTCGTACTAGTTGACCCATTCTCTATCGGTGTGTCGTCTCTTGTATGAACGATTCGATATTGCTGCCTGTATTTGTGTTTTTGTGTGTTTGTGCGAGACAAGAATTTTACTAAAAATGAAAACAAATGACATCATATCGTATTGATACCGCGAAGTAACCATAACTGATCTCGTTTGCATCGAATACGTATTTCGAAAAATCGCATCGATTTCGGTGTGAAAACATTAAAATGTTTCGATCCCAAATGCATTCAAACGCATCCACATATATGTAGTGGACAGATGGTGAGAAAATGACGACTGACATGCATTAGTTTGAACATTCGGCCGAGTTATTTTTGTTGTTCGATGTGTTCCATTAAATATTCCAGCCATCGATATTCATGAAAGAGATGCACATCTAAAGCAAATTTGGTGAAAAATCTGGATCATGTTCATTGACAGAAAGTGGTCATGTCCACCAATTTACACCAATTATATTTCATTAAATGTGCAAATCATGTATATACGAATAAAATGGCTGGAAAATAACGTTGTGTTCATCCGTGTGACACACGGCGAAGCGAACAATTGAAATGACTCTTTCGTATGAGTTGTGTAACTTTATTCGCATTCAAAATTATATAGATTTATAATTTTTGCGTCGAAAATGTTTCGCCAAATGGTCATACTCTTGCGAACGCTTGTAATAATGTTTCAAAATGCGTAAGCACGAATTGAAGCAAATGAACAACGTGTGTATGCACTTTTTCTCTTTCGCTCTCAACCCTTTACACGGTACCAACCCTCACGCGTATCAATATCAATGGCATGTGCATCCATAAAATAATCGTTCGACCAAAATATTTACATCGATGTACGATTTATTGCTTTGACGTGTGATGCTGTGTGCTGTGTCGGCTACTATGCAAAACGCTTAGCTCACATTATGCTATATATATATACGCCCAAACTATTACTTTTCACGTATCAAAACTTTTGCTGAATTGCCACTTTTTTTCCTCCGCACATCCCGTAGAGAAAATGTGCACTTTAATAAAGCCACTCGCATTCTTTTTTTCTCTTTCATTCGCAACTTGTTATTTGGATTCATTTTGATTCTTTTTTTGTTGGCCTGAACTTTTTTTTTTGTTTTTGTACGTATTATATTCGTGCGATGATTTTTTTTTTCATTCTCTCTCTCTTTTTTTCTTTCTCTCTTTCACTGTCTATCTTTTTCGGTGCGAATTTTGCTGATGCAAATAGACGTTTTTTTCAGTCGTAATAACGCGGGGAGTAAGGCCGATTTACCGATCACTTCTTTTCGCATTATTTTGACGGCAATCCCGAAGAAATGAAACAGATTGAAATTCCCGCAAGAATTACACGCCGATGATTTGATCGACTCTTTAATTCCATTCGTTCATTCATTTGAACCAACTCTACCATACACTTAGGATACCCTGCCACCACCGTTATCATCAGCATACAATACACATTTTCCATGCTGAATCGAATAGTGGTCGTGTTAGCGAGAGTAAGAGAACATTTTGATCGAAAGCGCATCGAATCATCAGGCGAAAAAAAAATTCTATATATTTCTCTCAATATCTTCATTCCATAGTTATTTTTCTTTCGTATCCGTAACGTGCTCGCTTGTTGGCTTGCTTGTTCAATGCGAATATGTGGAGAAAAAAAGAGTCTATATATATTTTACACCGCAATCCGTCGCGATTTTAACTTTATTTGTAATTATGTCTATATCCCATTTAGATTTGTGCTTTACGATCCATAGGAAATTCTCTAGAATGTGATAGGCACTCTCAGGCAATAGCAGTTATAATAATTAAAATGAATGTTTATAATTACACATATATATAGGGAAATCCAAGCAAATAAAACAAAATGCGATATTATTTACATAAATTTTGCTTTAGCTCAATTCGTTTTCCTGCATCGTTTTCGGCATTATTTTCTCTCGCTCTCTATGGATTTTTTTTGTTAGTTGTTGGTTGGGTGACTATTTCTCTTTTTTTTCTCTCAATTTTTGTATTCTGACGCTGTACGGCTTTTGTTCTCTGTATTGCTTGTAAAGTCAAAATACAATTCAATTTAACCTTAGCGCGTAAAAACAAATTTATAGTATACACATATACACTTTGCACGTCGCTTGAGTTATGGCCTCTCATCTGTTTACAGTGACTTGAAATGCTTGAGTGCCGAAACGAAAAGCAGAAATAGCACTATATATTTGCACTCGCACACACATATGTTTAGTGATCGCAGAAAATACGTCGTAAATGGAGTTTATATATGTGTGTGTTCGTGATCGCGTTAGAATTGATGTGTGGCTAAAAATAAACACTTTTTGCTTTATAGACAGCCAAATATTTTGCGATTTCAATCGCACTCTCATACAATATCCAACAATTATGATTTTTCAAACAAATTTTCGATGGTTTTTTTTCTATTTCCAATTTTGCTCCCCTACTATTTTCGCAAACACCGACAAAATCGTTGCACAAAAAAAAAAAATAAACACGAACACCAGTCGCAGCAGCAGCACAAGGAAATATGTTCGATGGAAAAAATACTGCGATTCCGTCATTCTTTTGCATACATGCACCAAACGGGATGTAAAGTGCGGATTCGTTTTTCTATTATTTTTTTTTACTCATTCATTGTGTTTGTCTCTGTTGCGCTCAGCCATAGAACGCAAAGCATTTTCTAGTTTTTCTTTTTAAATCATCGAATCTGACTTCCCTTTTTGTAGCTTGTTGGCGAGGAATGTGCAGTCGTTTTTCTGCGAATTGAATGCAAGAAAGGAATGAAAAAGTAGTGAAACGAGATAGATAGAGAGAGAGAATGCCACATACACAATATGGAAGAATTTGTTTTTGAGGCGAAAAATGTACGGGGTGAGAGTAAGCGCATTCAGGAACACGAGAAAGGAAATGAATAATAACAACGACAAAAAGTACACAGTACACAACATACCGTAAAAAATAGCTCTGTCCCGCAAAACCAGTCCGATGATGGTGTGAGTTTCATACAGTACTAAGATAGAAAGAGAGAAAGAGAGAGAGAGAGAGAGAGAAGGAGTATAGTGGCGTAAATTTAAAAAAATGTGATGCACTGTCGCTTTCTCAAAGCATTTCAACTGTACTAGTATTTCTGCTCACTATCAAAGTTAATTATGTTGCACGTTAAAAGTCTCAGAAACATGCGTTAAGTTCCAATCGGACTATTTCAATAACGTGCCACTAATTCAATTGAATACAAAAGTGTATTGATAAATAGTGGGGAAAAAATGGTTCACTCAAAGTGTGATCACAAACACATGCTTAAAGTTTGAGTCATACATTCAAGTTGTTCGAATGGCATTTTTCCCTTCTATCTTTATCTCTTTAACTCTATTTAATGCCTCTATCGATATTCGCATGCACTCAACATATTATGTGTGTCTAGGATTCTTTTGACGAGTGGAGCGTTTTAACATAATTTGAGAAATTGTTTTCCGTCGTAATGGCCGTTGCAAAGTGAGCAGACCATTGAATGTTTTATTTGTTTTGTCGAAAAATGACATTGCAAAAGCAACGATTTAACACAGCCAAACTTCATACATAAATACTCATATGAACATTGTACAATGATGTATGAGCAACAACAACAACAACAATAACAAAAATGAAATAAAACTAAAAATGTTATCCCGCAATAAAATTCCGAAACAAGGAAGAAAAATATTTTTGCCTCGAAAAATTGTATGTCATAAATCGGATTGTTATTTTGTTTTCTCTCTCTTATTTTTATCAATATTAATAAGCCATCGAATGGAAAAATGTTCAATTTCCCATTTTGACAGTCGTTCTCAATTATAAATTGACAACAGAACGGCAAAAGCAAAGCAATTTATATATTTGTGTACAATGCACATAGACATTTTTCTGCGTTATACTTTCTATTCTTTCACAAACAAAGTAATGTGCCGTTCAATCGAGTGGTTTGGTTTGGTTCCCGTTTGTGTCCTCTCATTCGTACCATATTCATTTGCTCGATCGTTCACTAGTTCGCTTCCTCTTGGGGTCCGTGCAACAATTCCAATTTTTCCCTGTTCTGCATGCGAGTGCATTAAAATAATTCCACATCATCAACAATCATGGAAACAATAACAAACATTGCAAAGACAAATAACCGAAGAACGGCTTTGATATGAAAGTGTGCATTTCTATCTTTTTCTATCTCTTTTTTTCTTTCTTTCTCCCTCGGTATCTCGCTCTGTCTGTGTCGCCGCATGCATTTCAATCTCAAATCTATATGTGTACAATGTGTGTTGTTTGTTGCATGCAAGATAGAATGGCAAAATTCGCTTGGAAAAACATACACTTGCCGTATGCTT